AGACAGGTAGGTATTAAAAATATATTGGAACATCTTAAAATTACCAGCCCTACCAGTGGAAATAAAATGATGGCAATTAAAAGTAATAAAGGTTATTAAAAGTTAAGGCCTTGGAGGCTAAGAAGTCATGTTAGACTGTCAATTGTTTTCCCCATGGTGGGTAATCAGTTAGAAATTAAAAAAAAAAAAAATCTAGTAGTTTAGTTGTGGTCAAAGAAAGAGTCAGTGGGGATGGGGGAGGGTTCAGCAACATGCTGGTAGAAAACGAGAGACTTACATAGTCTGGGAGGGCAGTGAAATGGAAGGCGTGGTAACCTCGCTCACTTAGTTGTCATTTTTTGATTTTCAATGACATTTTTTCATTCTTTCGCCTAGTAAAGATGACAGAAGGTCCTAATTTATTATCTGACATCTATTCCTGTTCCTAGATTTAAGAGAGTTTAACTGTATTACAGTCATATAATCCAAAAACAAACACTTCGCAAAAAAAAAAAAAAAAAAAAAACTAAAGCACTGATGTTGCATGCATTCAATTATAGTTATAACTGCATACTCAAACCAAAGACAAGAATTCAGGGGAAAGAATCAGCCTGCATAGCCCAGGCTGTGCAGGGGGTGGAAGGGATGGTGGATTTGTAGTTTCCTCAGATTAAAGCAGTAAAAAGGAGCTGATCACAAGAAAGAGATAATGTCTTGAAATGATACGAGCCATGGATTATAAAGAATGCCTGAATTAAAGTCTTTCACATGGCTCTAGGGGTCCCCGTATCCTGTATGCACAAATGAAGCTGGTCAAAATATACATCGGACACCACGGTAGATATTCTCTGTATTAGATGCCTTCTGCTGCTGAGATTAGGCCGAATTTTAGATGATGAGAGACAGATCATTGACACTTCTATCTCACATGACCTGGCACACTGTTAGGGCTTGACTGAAGGAAAACAAAAGTGCAGTGTGAATTTCTGTTTCTCTATGTACATTATACCACGGCAGATCAAATTAGGCAATACCATGGTATCCCTGACATTTCTCCCACTCCCACATTCTAGGTACAATTCAACATGTGTTGGGTTGGCATGAGGAAGCTACTCAGGAAATATCTGTAAATCAGTAAATGAAGAGACAATATAAATTAAACTCCATAAAGAAAAGCACCTGGATGGCAAAAGCCTTCACTTTTATAGCTGACTTGTACATTTTAAGGAACAAGAGGGAGGATTAAAAAGAATAGAAAACAAAACGAAAAAAACTGGAAAAGATTTTCATAAGCAGAAAGGGAAGGGATTAAGGGAGAAAAGAGTAATACTGAAAAAAACCTAAATAGCTTAATGCCAAAGTCACCTCCTGGCATTGCAAATGTTGGTCAATAGCAAAATACTGGAATTTGGATCTGAGTTCTCCAGTGGCAGAATATCACATCTGTTCATCTGGTCTAAGGCAAATAATGTCCTATTCTCATGTACAATCTCAAGTAGATTCTTTGATAGGTATATGATATTTATTCCATTTACTTAAAAAAAAACTCTGGAGGAGGTTTACAGTCAAAAGGTGTTATATGAAATTTAGCTAGGATTATTTACAAGATGAATAAGGCAAAACATTGTTCAGTCAGTTTCCATAAGTATGTATTCATGGGACTATGTTTATTTGGAAAAACTAATCTGCTGTAAAAGACATTTCAATTATACTATAAAAGATTATTGTTATTATTATTTAAGAAGCAGCAGGACAGAATAATCTTAGTTTAATTAGAATGGTTAAACATTACGGTACCACTAGCATAAGAATGTTCATGAGTGGCTTCATCTTTGGAGCTTCCCTCTCTGTGAGCTAATATTACTATTGCATCGTTTATAGAGTGCTTCTATAAGAAGAACACAGAAAAAGGATAAGAAAGTTCTTTGTACCTAGCTCATCAGTGTGCAAGTCCCACTCTCAGAGGAACACAAGGATGAGTCATCAGAGACCTATGTTATTTAGTTTTCCAAGGTCAACCTCCTTGCCTACTACTACTAAACTACTGAACCTGTCTGAGCAGCAGCTGCTTCAGGAGAAGGAACCCCTTCCCTACTCCAGTCCGTAACACATGTGGGTGAGTGTGGATCAAGTCTGCCTTCAGGGACGCCCACACCAGTCTAGTTCATACATCACCTAGCTCTGCTGTCTGCCTAGGACGAACGACATGTGGGCATGTCTGAAGAAATGTAAGGAGGTTGTGTAAAATGGATTTGGCAGCATTTGGGGAGAGACTATTCTTTAGTGTGTTGTCTTTTCTGAAGTTACCGGTGGTAACAGACTATCAAGTCTGTTGATGTCCAGACCCCAAAACCGAGTTGGTTGCCATACTGAGTGGCTTCTGCTTTCCCTGACGAGAAGGAAATTCTGACAGGGATACTAATGTCCCCGTTACCAACAGATACCTACAGAGCAACTTGTGAAACTGCTCTCATATTTTTTTTAAAAAAATCACTCTTCAAAAGTGAAATTGCTCAACATTAGGACACAAAAGCAAGCCCAGGGAAACACAGGTGTTTTCAGATGCATTTCATGCATTTATCTTACTCAGCGTTAGGACTGAGTTGGGTGGGACAAGGGCACATACAAGGCCACAAGCTTCTGTTGGCAGGGAACTTCCCTTTTCTCCAGTCTAAGGAGAAATGTGAGGCCAGAGATTCCTGCGAAGCAAGGCCTGCAAAAGCCAGCTGACCTAATTTAAAGGACGAGCGCTTGTTGAGCTCTCCTTGCATGCACGTTTTCCAAGCATTAGCTCTGTTTTGTTCTTTCAGTTCTTATTTCATAAGAAATCATACCATTTTCCTGCAGGCCTACTGACCTGCATTCTCTATCTCCCCAAAGTACGTTGCCTCTGCTAGCCTCTGCCATACTCACTTTTATTTGTGGGACACTAGGGAGGGGATGGTAATGTTTAGAGTAGGGAAGAAAATAACTCTTTTTTTAAAAAAAAATCATCTTATTATGATCCTGTTTAGATGAAATATGGGGCTTGCCATCAACAAAATTACAAAACAATCCCACTGGGAGCCCAGCCCTTTCAGAGTAATTCATCTATGAAAAAGCGAACTTTAATTGTTACTCTTGGCAGCCATCTAAGAGAAGAGTGAAATATTATACTAAATATTGCCACGTGCAATAGTAAAATACTCTTTCCTCCTTGCCAGAAGCAGTGTACAGCCCCCTTCAGAATCAGGTTTGGGTCTGGTGATTTAGCCTAAATCCTCTGTTTCCCCCTCTCCAAAACCAACAGAGGTTTTCAAAAGAGCTGCGTTTTTATTAGAACCATTTGCTCTTTTTAAGTTGCCAAAAAGGAATAAGTAAAACTAAGACATTTATTTGGGTTAAAGTTGATTCCTTAGCTTCATGGAGGTCAATGTACTTAGTCTGTAATCCTTCTGCTAGGAAGTTCATTCCTGCTTTGAACCAGCTAAGGTTACGTGCAGGCCCCTTCTTTCCTCACAGCCTCATGGATTTATACAGTACGGGTTGGGAGCCTGGGGACGCTAATCAGAATGAAGCATACACATGGCAAATTACATCCTGGATTTTCTGGAACAACTGAAATTTCAAATAATTTTGATGCCACCCATACAATTGCAATTTTGGGATCAAGTGTCTCGATTTGGGCTTTAGAGAACCGGATCCCAGCAGGTCTTTATAACTCTTCAGGTTAAAAGCTCGGTGAACACTGCTGCATCATGTAGTTTACATGCATGGAGAGGAGTTTGATAATACTCCAAAGATGAGGGATACTCTCTTTCTAAAAATAGAGTAAAGCCTGCAGTGAAGATGTAAATCAAAGAACTATTTATGTAGTGCTGGTTACCTGGGATATTTATAGGTTTTGGCTTAGCATGAGTCTATAATAAGGTATTTGCAAATAATTTTTAAAATGTACATTCTGGCATGAATATTTGCACACACTGGGCATATAATGATATAGCAAGGTCATATGTAAGACAGGAGATGTAGATAGCATGATTAGCTTCCAAAATGTTTAAATGTGGGCAGTTAGGGCCCTTAAAAATGAAATGGCTTGCCCAGGATTATTCAGTATGTTACTGATGGTCTGAGGACCAGAACCTCAGTTTTTAAGTAGATATTCTCTATGCTATAGAACACTGTTTTTCATCCACAGGGATATATAATGACACTAATATTATTTGGGAATAAATTTAAGTCTGTAGATATATAAAAAGTAATCTTTGTTATAACTTAATGGATTAAAACATAGGTCATCTGCAACTTGAGTAAATATATTAAACTTTAGGATATATGATTTATATAATTATTTTCTTTTTATATAACATATTATCTATGACAATAAACAAAACGGCTACTGTTAATAATAAGATAGTTTGAGTGAAGTATAACCTGTATCAGTCATGGGAAAAATATTCAGTACTTGTTATATATTGTGTACAACTGCATAAAGACTGGACATTTTAAAGCTTGGTAAGAGCTTTTAATTTATATAAAGTAACATTTCTTAGAAGTATGCCTGTTTTTCTGTTTGTGGAAGTTTTAAAACAAACAAAAATAAAATTTATAGAACGTACGGCCTAGCAACTAACAGCACTATGCTAAAGCGAACAATATAATGTCAGTTATTATTTAAGTGGAAGTAATCATTATAGAAAGAGAGAAATTTTAAAATACATTGTTATAAATACCACTCAGATAATCAATGACAGCAAATAGTAAACTAATTAAGAGTCCCATAGGTCATCTATACTGGGAAGTTGGTCTATCTTTTAAAAAAACTGACCTATGACGTGGGAAGCCAAGGAAATCTGTCTTATATGTGTGGTTTTAATTTTTAAAAAATCAATCTGCCTTTTATTTATTAAAAGATCAAGCTCTTTGTGTGTCAGCACAAAATTTAAAGTTTCGTTTGAGGGTTTCCATTTCCTGCTCTCCATTTAAAATGGGGGAAAAATAAAAATATTTTGCCTGTGACAGAATATGAAAGAAGTTCTCACCCTTAAAACCAGCAGCATTGGTTTTCCAGTCATTAGCGTTCAAATGTCCCGCACGGGAAGTCCTGACAATAACATGCTGTACGTCTCTCCAGGTCAGAAACGGACTGGGGAAAGACAAGGTAAGAATCATTGTACCAAAAAAAAAAAGATGGGGGAAGCAGAGAGTCACAAGCAAATTAAAAAAGCAAAATCAAAATGGCAAAGTACTAAAAACAAAGGGTAAGAGATTTGGGTTTGGGATAACCAAATGCCAAATGCCGCTCTTGTTCTCAACATGGAGAAGTGACATTAGTCTGTGGGAGGCAGAAAACGTAATCTTAAACTGAAGAAACAATAAGATCGTGGGCAGTGGAACTTAGTTTTTACTAACAAAAGGGTGAGCATTTCCAGTTTCCTCAACAAAATGGCCGCCCACTACTGGTGCTCATCATCCTTTGTGTCAAAGCGTGGATCATCATCAGAAAATTACAGTAAGCTGAAGTCAGAAGGGAAGGCCTCTCGCTCAATTGTATACCTAGGCAATTGATTTGCAATTTACCAAAGAACTTAGCAATGTTTAACCTTCTGCGCATATATATGTGGGATATGGAAAAATCTCAACTGAAATTGAGTCTCCACTTTCAGCATTCTTTAAGGAAGAGAATATGGTACAGAACCCCAGCTGGGCTCCCAGGCACAGACACCTAAGGGAGTATCCCTAATCTGCAATAGTAGCTGTTATGTTAAGTTACTGGATACCTAGTTCTTATGGCTGTTACCACTGAAGAGCACAAAGAAACTATTGAAAAGGAGGTACTTTCCTTGGAGAACTGCAATGCTAATCATAAACACAAAGAAAACAAATCCAAGCACAGATACACAGACTTTTATTCCCTTTCCAAGACTCTGTAGATACGACAAAACATTCATTCGACTGAGTGCATGTGTGTAATTCTAATCAGGATACTTGTTCAATTCAGTCTCAAATTTTGAGGTGTGACCATCTCTTATCTAAGAAATGTGGTAATTTCCATGCAGTTTGTGCAGCCATTTTCTTTATTTCTTTTCAGCCACCTTTATTTTAGAAGCAATATTTGCAAAGGATGGGTCAGAACATTTAGGAAAGAGGAGAAAATTACTCACTACCTGCCTTGAGGGGTGATGGGGCTTGGCGTAGTCTCTGGGCACCTTCTTTTGCATGTGTATGGACATTGGGTTTTTCGGGCAGAGGGAAAACTTAGTATCTTAATCGTAGCTAATTTTTAATGATGGAGGCTGTATGTTGTTTCACTTTATACTACTTTTTTTTTCATCATATTCACCATAAGTATGTTTTTGAAGGTGGCCAGGGTGGCCTCCTGGTAAGAAGGGGCCCAGAGATCAGGTTCTGGCTCTGTCATCTCCTAGCTATGTGAAATCAACCTCTCAAAGTCTCAGTTTCCCCACTTAGAACGTGGATGCTAATATCTTCTTTACTTCATTGTACTGATTGAATCAGTTAAAATAAATGTCAAGTACTTAACCTAGTGCCTGGCACATAATAAGCTATTGAGAAGTGGTAGATGGCACAGCATTTTGCTAAATTATCAAACGCAGCTCTTATTTGGTGCTTTGAAAAGGAAGTACTATTGAGTTCTAATAGCTTTCTGTTATGCCCTAAGATTAAAAATAAAAGGAGAGCGAGTACTGTCACTTTTAAAGTTCTCAAATGGGGTAAAATTGGATCTAGACTATTTTGTAAGGCTGCATTAACAAAACAACTTATATTAAGAAAATTAAAATTTTATGAACTTTATGAACAATTATATGAACTTTAAAAATATGAGAGTTATGGAAACAGAATTATTTTTGTTTTGTTTGGATAGAGCACTTGTTCAGAACCAACTTTAGAACCTGATAAAGCAAGAAACTATTAAGAAAGGGAGGGAGGTTGTCTGATGGATCCCAGAAGACAGGGAAGTTTTGCTTTTAAAACAAACAGCATGGTTTGACCCTTTGCTGTCTACCACTGAATTCACATGATCATTCAGTAGACTCAATGCACTTCTGTCAGGAAAAGTAAGAAATGGGTCAAAGGATACTTTTGATTACTATGTTGATTCCAGTCTCAACATCAGATGTTCTAGTTCTGCCTACAGTGTGACGTCTTAGATATCAGAGTGAAGGGCAAAAACAACAGCAAGAAAGCTCAGTCCGGAAAGACATTCCAGCCACTTATTTTATGGTAAAGCAGCATCCTCACACATGAACATACATGTTTTTCTTTTTTCATGAGTAAACAACAAGACACCAAAAAGTACGCTTGGATTTGATGAATATATCTAAATCAACTTAGTAATTTAAAAGTAGCATTTAACACACAGTTAAAACTTTTATGTTTTACATCTTACCCTTTAGGGAAAAAAAGAAAAGGAAAGAAGTTTCCCATGTTACCTTTCACCAAGGCAGGCCTCCTACAGAAATACCAAACATGGGGTTCTGACCATTGGGAGATAACACGTTTTTCCTAGTGAACCTTAGCACTAAAAATATAATAACAATAATAATAATAATAGAACAGGGAACATTTACATTTATCTTGTACCTGAAGCAGCTGTATTTTGGCAGATTCAGGAAGCCTCCTGCATTCAACTCAGCCTGAAGAAATGAGTTACTTGTTCTCATGCTGAGTTGTAAAAACTAGTTCTTCTTGGAGTGCTTGTAATTAGAGGGAAGAAATTAGCTTCAGGAAATTGGAACTACACATGGCAAGAGGAGGTGTTTGGAAGATTTTACTCTGACAATTTAAAATGAACAATTTCAGAAATTATCTAATTCGAAAAGTTCCTGAATTTCACCAAAATCAAGTGCGGACGACAATATGGGAAAGCAATGGGTTTGGACTCAGTGGTGTTTCTACCTATGGGAAGGTAACTAATTAGCTTACGAAATAGCCGTAAGTTAATTTTAGTAGACATTACGGCTTAGTTATTGTTAGTATCCAGAGAGGACTCTTATTTATGGGTAAGTCTCATTCGCATCTTAGTTCTTATTTGTGTTTATGCTCACAGGGATGATGGAGAAGTGAAGCCTAAGTCAAACTATGAAAGATTTGGTAAACCACACATACAGCAAAAACAGAGAAGGAAGGCTGAGAGTCCTCTGCAGAGAACTCCATAGTCCACAACAGTAACGCAGGAACCCTAAAACTTATCCCTGTCTGCCAAAGACCTTGGACTCACACTACACTGGCCTCTGAAAACCAAGACCCCTCTGACCTCAAAGAACATACAGACTGAGCACCAAGAGCTTTCGAGCAAGCCACAGTCGAGAGGCTGAGAGTCTAACCCACCCAGAGAAAAAGAGCACTATCTCTCACCCCTGAGCCTGGTGGCCACCACCCCATAATAACCCACATGTAGTCAAGCAACCCACTCTTTAAATTTCTTCCTTGAATTATTAACAATTACCCTAAACAACAATACACATGAAAAGAGTAACATTTATAAATGCCTGCAAGATCTGGGTAGCTATCTATGACCTTTCAAAGCAATGAAATGAACATAACTTTCTGGGGAGTTCTGTATATGTAATCTTTTCCAGTTAAGAAGTTTTGCATCCTTTACTGACCTCGTAATAACAACCAACATTTACTGAGCACTTGGCCAGGGCCAGACACGGTATGTTTTACATGTATTATTGTTATGTAATCTTGACAATTATATGATGTGGGTAATATTTTTATTCCTGTTTCACAGATGACAAAACTGAGGCTTTGAGCTACACACAGCAACTTAAATACAGAGGTAGTAAGAGGTAGAGCTAGAATTCAAACCAGTTGAACTTGGCTCCAGAACTTTGCTATCAATCACTATGTAACACTGTTTGCAGATGGATCCGCAAAGGTGAAACAGAGACGTACACACATTGATTTGGCAACTGGATCAAAAAGCTAATTATGGCATGTCATGTAATCACAGTCACGCCATCTTTGTACATGCACTCTCTCTCTCAACTCAGTTGGCTGATTTTTGTTTACCATAATATTCGGAAGATTCTCGAGTCTTAATTTAATTGGTAGGTTTTAAAGGCCTAACTTGAGTTCTAAAGGCCTACCTTTTGCACAATCTAAGGTAAACAGAAAAATATCACACCAGGAAAATCATATTATTTTTATAACATAATATTTTATGTGTATGCTATATGTCCTAACATTGCTGTATTGTTTTATACCATTATTGTTATGAATTCGTCATCTTGCCTGCCAGGGTCACACTTTGATGTGGTTCACAGCCTGGTTAGGTAACTCTTCTTCACTCAGTGGACCTCACCTCAAACACTTCTAGTTTTCAGCTGCAAAAACAGGATAATTAATGACACTATCACTACCTGGTGTTTGTATTACATTTTTTGTTCTGAGCAGTTCAAAGTATTTCATGGGCCCAGCACTAGCTTTAGAAGAAGTAGGCCATATCCCAAGAGAGACATTTTGTGTAGTGCTTCTTGTTGGGCTTCTAAGAGCGACTGCTAGCACTTAAATTAAAAAAGAAAAAAACTCCACCGAGAGTTTTCTCAGATAATTCTGCAGATGTGTGAGTGTTTGAAATAAATTTGTACTTGGTGGACCTTAAAAAAAAAAGGGCCTATTTGAAATCTTGGGTGACTAACTCTCCTGCACTTACGAAAGAGAAAAAATAACTAATCTTCCTTTCAATCTACCCCCGAAATAGGTCTATCATTGTAATTTAGGGGCAACTGATAAAAGGGACAACACATATACATCTTATTACAAACAGAAAATTTGTCAATAAGAGGAGCAACAGCAAATTCAGATAATGAAACTGTTTCCTAACGGGGCAATCTTCTTAAAATAAAAGTGGTTCTGCCTAATGAAATGACAAGGTATTTTGTGGACCAGATCAATGGGAAAACTGCATGACCAATCAACAATTACCCAAAATCAAACTTACTAAATATCCAACAACAATCCAAGATAAAACCAGTCTCCTTGCATGTTTCTTAAGATTATGTAAAATACAAATGGGAACCAGTAGCCAGAAAACCAGTGTCATTGGTACCAGTGCTATAAGAAATCGGCAATCGGAAAAGATTCGTTGTGAGCTGGAGCAACAAACATGAGGCAGAA